AAAGGACGCAGAAGCTAGACGTGCACGTATTGAACAACTTCTCAAAAGTATTGATCAAGATGCAGATGGTATAATCAATGCTGATCTTGTGCTAGAGGTGGGTTCAAGAAATTTGCTGTGATTCTATCACCTTACGATTTGATTTAAATAGTTATGTTTTTTACCTTAGCTTATATGTGGTTTTTTTTTAGGTGATCGCGCTCGTAGAAAAGCACGGAGATGTCAAGATCTCCGCCTCTCAATTAGCTTCTATAGTCAGCATGCTGGAGAAGGAGGGCGAAGCCGAACAATTGGTAAAGAGAATTGGATCCCTTGATGCTCCAATAATGCCACAGGTTGTGTCTTTTTTCCGTACTGCATGGCGGAGCTTTTAGTCTTTGTTTGAACGTCTTCTCTTCAGGGTCCCACAATCGATGACGACGAGTCATCGGGAGAAGCTGATAAAAGCAAAAATGCTTTGCTTGACATGCCGAATGTCGACCCCAAAGCCACAGTTTCTCTAAGCAATAAAAATGACAATACTCCTCGGCCCAATGTTGTGTTATCTATTGATGTGATAGTTTGTAAGGAAATCCATGTTGTTTAGGAGGGCTCGATTAATAACTGGTTCTCGGTATGTGTGATTATATTATACTTTGAGGCTGGTGATTCAAATATTTTTATATTCTTAATAGTCATGATATTGTACAAACACTAATGTTGCTGGCGTAGTGAAGTATTTTTTCATCAGTGCGCTCTTTTATCATTTCCTTGTCGTATAATTGACTTCCATGTTACACAAGGCGCACTAAGTTCTATACAATATTGTATTGAAAAACAGGTTTTATTTGCTAAGGCAATTTTTGTACATATAAACTTTCGTCTTCCTTTCACCAGCTTGAATGTGATTGACGTTACTGTTGGCCTCTACACGATTATAACAGCTGTTACTCTCACAGGATTCTAGTTCCTACTTTCACTCGTTTAAATGAATCTTTTGTACTTCGCTAGACTTCTTATTCTATTTCCTTCCGTTTACAATCGTGTAATGGTATTTTTGACAGAACTTAGGCTGCCAGTCTTGCATAGTTTCATTTTCTTACAATTTATTTCTCGAAGGCAGCACTAGTTTACTTTGGAACTGCTATGGGATTTGTGACGGAGTGAATACGGAAGAAGTAGCTCCCTTTGGGAAAAGATTTGATGGAACAAGTTTCCAAGGTTTTGTCATTTTCTCTTATTAACATAAATGTATGAAATTCTCGTGTGGCAGTCAGGTACAAACATGAATTCGAAAGGTGGTCTTGTTTCGATCAAGTTCATGAGCGTTTAGGAGATCTTTGTGTATTCGCAGTCACAGATAACGGCCCTGCTAAAAGCACTACAAGTGTAATAGTATTTGTACGTAACTACTTGGTAAGTCAACCTATATCTTACATTTATCCTTTGCTCTTTATTAATTCCTAACATTCTACATATTGTGGTATATTGTGAGAATACCGTTTCTCATGCTCTTTGTTTACAGATCGCACAATTTCGATAACAACGCGCGTAGCCTCATAAGGAGAGGAGGAGCCGGCTGGAGGAAGCCACGGGCAGAGAGGA